GAAGCCCGAGCCCGACCCAAAGTCCTAAACCCCTTTCTGTACCCCCATACCCTAAACCGCTACACCCTCAACCCCGATACTCCTAAACCCCTAACCCCTAAACCCTAAACCCTAGACTCTAAACGCCTAAGCCCTAACCCCTAAACCCCTACTAAACCCCTAAACCGCTATACCCTCAACCCTAAACCCTAAACTCCTAAACCCCTAAACCCCTAGACCCTAAACCCTAAACCCCCAAACCCTAAGCCCTAAACCCCTAGACCCTAAACCCTGAACCCTGAACCCTGAACCCCTCAACCCTAAACCCTAAACTCCTAAACTCCTAAACCCCTAAACCCCTAGACCCCTAAACCCTAAACCCTAAACCCCCAAACCCTAAGCCCTAAACCCCTAGACCCTAAACCCTGAACCCTGAACCCCTCAACCCTAAACCCTAAAGCCTTCACAAGACCCCGGGTGAAAGCCAGGCCGGGGCGCTGCATCCGTTTGCTGTCAGCGCCGCCGCGGAGGAGCTGGGCGAGGCGTTGGACAGGGTTTAGCGTTTAAGGTTTAGGGTTTAGGGTTTAGGGGTTCATTTTGGGGTTCCTTTTAAGTTTAAAGAGTTCCTAGAAGGTTATTATGGGCTTCTGAAGGTTTCAGGGTTTAAGGACGAAAAGAACCCTAAAAGGGTTTAGGGTTCATATTCCTTGAGGGATTCATAGTATAACTGTATAGGGCCCCTACTTTTAAGGGTCATGTGGTCCTTAAGGTTCGCGGGGGGCTAGGGTTTTGGGTTCAGGGTTTAGGGTCTAGGGTGACAAACTGGGGCTGTGTAATAACCCCGCGCCTCTTCGTTCTGTGTTCGCTGGGCGCCTGTTGGAAGGATAGTGTTTTGGCTGGAAAAACGATAAGAAGAAAAAAAAAACGATAACGTCAATTTATGATGTCAGTAGTCTTGTACATTATTTGCTGCTGATGGCTTGTATGTTGTGCATTCGCCGCGCCTGCAGAGTTCCACAACTCAAATCAAGCAGCTTCATCACAACCCTCACGAATGCATTTCGCCAGGGACTCTAAATGCATTCGGGCCCGCGCACTCGGGGTTGGGAGGAGCATGGACCACGTTGGGCTTTTTCACGGCCATTTGAACACGCACTAAACGCTTCGTCACCAACCTCGCGCATGCATTTTGGCACGGATTCTAAACGCATTTGCTCCCTGCACTCGGGTTTGGGAGTGCGGGGTATCTTGGGCTTTTACACGGCGATTTGGGCAAGCACGAACCGCTTCGTCACCAACATCACGAATGCATTTCGCCAGGGATTCTAAATGCATTCGGGCCCGCGCACTCGGGGTTGGGAGGAGCATGGACCACGTTGGGCTTTGTCACGGCGATTTGAACACGCACTAACCGCTTCGTCACCAACCTCGCGCATGCATTTTGGCACGGATTCTAAACGCATTTGCTCCCTGCACTCGGGTTTGGGAGTGCGGGGTATCTTGGGCTTTTACACGGCGATTTGGGCAAGCACGAACCGCTTCGTCACCAACATCACGAATGCATTTCGCCAGGGATTCTAAATGCATTCGGGCCCGCGCACTCGGGGTTGGGAGGAGCATGGACCACGTTGGGCTTTGTCACGGCGATTTGAACACGCACTAACCGCTTCGTCACCAACCTCGCGCATGCATTTTGGCACGGATTCTAAACGCATTTGCTCCCTGCACTCGGGTTCCCTGCCCCTGAACCTCAAACCTTAAACCTTAACCCTAAACCCCAAACCCGAATCCCTAGCCCTTAACCGTAAACCATCTTAAACCTTAAACCTGAACCCCGAACCTGAATCCCTACCCCTTAACCTTAAACCTTAACCTTAAGCCCCAAACCCGAATCCTTACCCCTTGACCTTAAACCTTAAACCTTGACCCTAAACCCCAAACCCGAATCCCCACCCCTTAACCTTCAACCTTAAACCTTAACCCCAAACCCTCATTGCAAACCGCTTCGTCACCAACCTAACGAATGCATTTCGGCACGGATTCTAAATGCATTTGCGCCCACGCACTCGGGCGTGGGAGCATGCATGTCGGCTGTTCACACGGCGATTTGGGCAACCGCTTCGCCGCCAACCTCGCGAATGCATTTTGGCACGGATTCTAAACGCATTTGCTCCCTGCACTCGGGTTTGGGAGTGTCAACAGTAGTACAGTGGACAGTAGTAATACGATAGTAGTACAGTAGTACAATAGTAATACAGTAATAGTACAGTGGTAGTACAATAGTAGTACAGTAGTACACTAGTAGTACAGTAGTAGTACAACAGTAGTACAGTAGTACAGTAGTAATACAGTAATAGTACAGAAATAATACCGATAAGCAAAGCATAAAGCCAGCGCCTGAAACCCTAAACCCTAAACCCTAACAAACCCTAAACCCTAACGAACCCTAAACTCCTAAACCCTAACAAACCCTAAACCCTAAGCCCTAAACCCTTCCCAAAGGGGGGTCGGTCCAGATTGGACCCAAAATTGAATTTTTTATACAAACTTTAGTACTGGAGAGGCATCTTTTGAGCTAGGGTCCAATCCCCGATTCGGCGGTTCACCCTAGATATGTTGGGCTGTTACACGGCGATTTGGGAACCGCTTCGTCACCAACATCACGAATGCATTTCGGCACGGATTCTAAATGCATTCGGGCCCGCGCACTCGGGGTTGGGAGGAGCTTGGGGCCAAGTTGGATTTTTTCACGGCGATTTGAGCACGCGCAAACCGCTTCGTCACCAACCTCGCGAATGCATTTTGGCACGGATTCTAAACGCATTTGCTCCCTGCACTCGGGTTCCCTGCCCCTGAACCTGAAACCTTAAATCTTAACCCTAAACCCCAAACCCGAAACCCTAGCCCTTAACCGTAAACCATCTTAAACCTTAAACCTCAAACCTAAACCCCGAACCTGAATCCCTACCCCTTAACCTTAAACCTTAACCTTAAGCCCCAAACCCGAATCCTTACCCCTTGACCTTAAACCTTAAACCTTGACCCTAAAACCCGAATCCCTACCCCTTAACCTTCAACCTTAAACCTTAACCCCAAACCCTCATCCCAAACCGCTTCGTCACCAACCTAACGAATGCATTTCGGCACGGATTCTAAATGCATTTGCGCCCACGCACTCGGGCGTGGGAGCATGCATGTCGGCTGAATTCACACGGCGATTTGGGCAACCGCTTCGCCGCCAACCTCGCGAATGCATTTTGGCACGGATTCTAAACGCATTTGCTCCCTGCACTCGGGTTTGGGAGTGTGGGGTATGTTGGGCTGTTACACGGCGATTTGGGAACCGCTTCGTTACCAACATCACGAATGCATTTCGGCACGGATTCTAAATGCATTCGGGCCCGCGCACTCGGGGTTGGAGGAGCTTGGGGCCAAGTTGGACTTTTTCACGGCGATTTGAGCACGCGCAAACCGCTTCGTCACCAACCTCGCGCATGCATTTTGGCACGGATTCTAAACGCATTTGCTCCCTGCACTCGGGTTCCCTGCCCCTGAACCTGAAACCTTAAATCTTAACCCTAAACCCCAAACCCGAAACCCTAGCCCTTAACCGTAAACCATCTTAAACCTTAAACCTCAAACCTAAACCCCGAACCTGAATCCCTACCCCTTAACCTTAAACCTTAACCTTAAGCCCCAAACCCGAATCCTTACCCCTTGACCTTAAACCTTAAACCTTGACCCTAAACCCCAAACCCGAATCCCCACCCCTTAACCTTCAACCTTAAACCTTAACCCCAAACCCTCATCCCAAACCGCTTCGTCACCAACCTAACGAATGCATTTCGGCACGGATTCTAAATGCATTTGCGCCCACGCACTCGGGCGTGGGAGCATGCATATCGGCTGTTCACACGGCGATTTGGGCAACCGCTTCGCCGCCAACCTCGCGAATGCATTTTGGCACGGATTCTAAACGCATTTGCTCCCTGCACTCGGGTTTGGGAGTGTGGGGTATGTTGGGCTGTTACACGGCGATTTGGGAACCGCTTCGTCACCAACATCACGAATGCATTTCGGCACGGATTCTAAATGCATTCGGGCCCGCGCACTCGGGGTTGGGAGGAGCTTGGGGCCAAGTTGGGCTTTGTCACGGCGATTTGAACACGCACTAACCGCTTCGTCACCAACCTCGCGAATGCATTTTGGCACGGATTCGAAACGCACAGCTCCAGCGCGGAGTGAAAAGGTTCCCATCGGAATCCTATCAGACTAAGCTTGCAGCTTCATATCCCGTATATTTAAACCTACTTCACGCCAAAGAAGCACAACCACTGCCTTCGATATACGAATGTTTCCATGTCCCGTATACTATATACTACAGTTGTACTACACTTCAGTAAAAGGTTCTTTCATGGGAAAACGATAAGAAGAAAAAAAAACAACGATAACGCCATTTAGCGTATAGGAACTGAACACGGGGTTTTCACACCACCCCACATGCGGGATTTTCAGAGATTCCGGGAGATCAAGAGGAGTCCTATAGCGGCCGAAATAATTACCTATACTAGCTTGAGGGTTCCTTATGACTTAGAAGTATAGTACACTGGGCCCCAAAACCATATTCTAATTATTAAGGTCCCTATATTAGGAGTCTTAGTCTGTCACAACCCTAATTTCAACACCAATAACAATGCTTAGGAACGGTAGAACAGCCATATCCGGTCCTTAGAAACAGAGTGCAGAACCCTGCCGACCGCATAAATCCCTTACAGACCTTCTAAACCTCCAAAGCAACACTAGACCTGTAAAAGCACCATAGTTCTTCAGCAAGTACATATCTATGTAAATATATATATATATATATATACACATATATATATATATATCCACATAACCATACGAGAATCCCAGCTGCGGCTCAAATTTCCTAAACAACTAAACCCTAAACCCTAAACCCTAAGCCCTAAGCCTAAACCCCAACAAAAACCAAGAGGCGCCTCCTCTGGGAGGGAGTGACCATGGGCGCCTGGGCCGCCTTTGCACCCATTTGGCCCCTTTACTTGGAGGTTCATGGGTAGTTATAAGTAGGGTTATAAGGCCCCGACAATGAGTTATAAGTATAGTTACCCTACTTATAGCCCCACTTATAACTACCCATGATCCTCCAAGTATAGGTTTAGGGGTTGTTTAGGGTTTACATAGGGGGCTCGTTACTGATAACAGACCCTTTGCAACGAGCAGCCCCTGGAACCCACATGGGAATTTCCCAAATAGGGGACCCTAATATGTACCCTATTAAATAGTAGGATCCTTATTATCAAAGACCCCAAAAAGGTACCCCTAATTTCCAGAAACTCCCACATCAAGCGCTGGATTTTGGTGGGTTCTCCGAGGTCCAGAGCTTTTTGAAGCGGAAGCCTGAAGCATTACAATCGTCATTCCGTAGGGTCTCTTCTTTTTTTAAACATACCGCCTGGTGCTGTACTGTAGAAGGCCGGAAATACCGTCATTTGCTTATCGGTTTAATGTTGATTCGTATTATTTTTTAGTGAACTAATATCAATTTTGCAATCATTTCCTGAAATTTTCATGTTTTGTACTAAGGTTTCCTATTTTCAGTATACCCCAAACGCTAGTCTAACTATGCAGGCCGCTATGATGCGCAATTCCTTGGGGCGATTCAGACTTGCAGGTTCTGAGGGGTCAGTGCCGTGGCTGTATATCCCATGTCTACTGCTATGTGGAAGAGCTCATAAAAGCTCCGCGAGGGCCCTGGTGGAGCCCTATCTTAAATTTAGAAAGGTACTATACCCGAACTCTCTTCCAATGCTGTCGGAACGTCAGAACGCACGGCTTGCAAGCTCAAGTCTTGTCTTGTCGAATTAGTGCCGCTGGTCTGGCTGGGCATGAATTGCAGGTTGTTGTGGCTGCTGACTTGGAGGATCATGGCACTTAGTAGGTAGGGTTTATGAGTACCACAATTAGAGTTACAAGTAGACATAAGTCTAGCTACCTGATTTATAACCCCGTTTACTACGTCCCGCGCTCCTTCTATCAAGAAACCCGGGTGCATCCTGAAGGAGAGAAGACCTGGCAGTCTCTTTCAAACTTACCACCGCTAGTCAGGGAAGCCTATTCCAGAACCCTTGAGGGAATCCTGTTTCAGAACCCGTAAGAGAACCCTATCATAGAACCCTTGCAGGAATCCTATTTCGCAAACCTGATGAGAACCGCATTATGGAACCCTACTCCCAGGATGCAAGGAGGCCAAACTTTTGTCACCTCACCAAGGGAAGCCTATTCAAGAGCGCTTGAGAGAATCCTGTTTTAGAACCCTTAAGAGAACCCTATTATAGACTCTACTCCTAGAATACAAAGAGGCCAAACAACCCCCTAGGAGAACCCTATTGTAGTACCCTGCTCCTAGAAGCTCTCCCTAATTGCGACCCCAAACCCCTAAACCCCTACACTCCTAAACCCCTAAACCCTAAACCCCTGAACCCTAACTGCTAAACCCTAAACCGTTTGGTGAGGCGTGGAGGTTGCTGACCACGAGACGATGCAGGCCCTCGACGAAGGCCGTGCAGTCAAGCTGATGCAAGCCAGCTTTCCACAAAGACTCTACGGCGAGGTACTGGCATAAATTATATACCATCTTTAATATACCATGGTATACTAGAACATACTTTGGTATACTATGATATACTGTAACATACTACAACATTCCATACCAGAATATACTGTGAGACAGCTGATGCTGTCGGGCTCCTGCTGACGAGGTTGACAAGGATGTGGGGTGATGCTGATTCCGAAAGAGCTGATGATGGTGATAGTCATGTTCATGTACCGTGCGGACGGTGCTCTTGATGATGACGATCTGAGAAGATGACACTTTTATAGCGAAATGGATAAGGTGACAAAATTACATGTCAGCTAAGCCTGCGTTTTAATGTTAGGGTTGATGCGAGCATTGGACTTCTGACATAGTCGTCAGATCATCATTTCTGCGCTTGGTTTCATACCATAACGTGGCGCAGGTCCCGAGGTCCTCAACCCGAAGCCCTCGGCCCAAAGCCCTGAACCTGGGGGCCTGATCCGAAGCTCGCGGCGTTGGATCATTTGCAACTACCCTTGAGCTTCAAATGCAGATGAACACTCTCCAACCTGAAATCAACCAACATCCAGCTTTGACGCCAACTGCCGAGAGCCAAAGCAACAACTTCAAGGGTCAGGGGACATAGTGACGAATTGCTGACGAACCTGCTTGAACGACTCAAGTAGAACAACCACAGGAACCCAGCAAAAGCTTAAGACCTGGTCAGGAAGAGATTGTGGAACTGGATCACCTGCACGATTATGTTTCACGTTTTAAGTTTCAGGTGCAATCCTTACCAGTAGTCCTCCTGCACATATTGAAAGATTCAAGGGTCTTAGTCAGTAGGTTATATGTACGATTGCAACTGAGCTTAGTCCGTCACGGTACTAGAAGAGGGACGTACATTCACGAACGCCCTGAAAAAAGGCCTTAGCTTAGAGAGCTACCAACAAGCCCCAAAACTCAAAGGCACTACACCAGCTCATTTAAGACCCTGTCGACGTTTTGCAAAGACCTGCGAACACCGTGCGAAGAAGGCGGCAAAGCCCCGATACTATAGGGGCCTCTAGCACCTGCGGCATTAAGGATTATAGAATAGGGTTTTGGCATTCCTCATTACAAGTATAACTAGTTTAATTTACCCCGAAGCCCTGTTCTAAATATTAAGGCCCCCTCTAGTACCTGAAGGCAACAAGCAGCTCGGGTTTCTCAGCACCGTCTTCGCAGAGAACCTGGCGCACGGCGAGGCTGAGCAAAGGAGGGGGCTTTAATGTAGGTGCCTCGATATAATATCGAGAATAGGGTTTGGGGGTATGTTATACTATACAAATTACAATGGGGGGTGGGGGTTCTCGCACCTCAGTTGCCGCACGCCTTGCCGTTTCTGTTAAAGGCTCTAGATTGCGAAGATTTACGGGTTCGACGCTAGACCCGAAACCCTTTCGTTTGAAGGCATTGTGCAGATCGATTGCTGAGGGTGCTGCCGTACATCCCCCGTTTCAAGAGAAATGAGTAATGAGTGCTTGGGCTTGTTTACTCTTAGGAACTCTCCACTTTCTTTAGGGTTCAGGGCTTCGCACCATGCCGTGAAATGTAGATCCGCATTGGGAATGAAGTTGTCATTTTTCAGGGTTTAGGGTTGAGGAGCCCAGCCTACTACAGCCGCCGTAACAGTTGGTAATGGTCGTCCCTTCTGGCCCCAATGCACGTATACCATACCAGATCCCGAAACGCTCTTCGAGGTGCTATCACTCCTGCATTCGTTGGAGAGTCCGCACATCTAACCCTCTTCGAACAGCTAACACCCTACAGTAGTTCGAGAGTCTTGACATCTCTAAACCCTAAACCCTAAACCCTACGCCCTAAACCCTAAACCCTACCCTTTCAGAGCAGAGGCGCAGACCCTGGCCTTGCGGACCGAGCGCCACACTGTGGAAGGGCTTCCGGAAGAGGCCTTTTAATTCCTGAGGGGTACTTAGAAATAGGGGCTCCTTAAAGGGATCTATAGGGGTACTATGAGGGTTTAGGGTTTAGGGTGGGGTACTTAGAAATATTTTTTAGCTTTTTTGTTATGATAATCCCAAAGAAACAGCTAAAATTATAAGTTTTGCTAGGGTTCTAAGTTCAGTATAGTTTTCAGGGTTCAAGCTGTAGGGTATCGGGTTGGGGTAGGGGTTTAGGGTTTAGGCAGTTAGGGGTTCAGGGTTTAGGCTTTAGGGTTAGGTGTCTTTGGCGCTCAGGGTTGTTCGGTTTGGGGTGCAGGTGTTTTGGTTCAGATTTTCCTGTGTAACGTTCAACAAACTTCAAGAATTTGGGCTTCAAGTTTCAATCGTCCATCCTTATAGTACTTACTAGGCGGTCACGATTATGGCCCTTCTTCGGGGAAGCGAGGGCTTGTGAAACCCATGGCTCCTCCATAATATTCATGGTACTTACTAGGGGTTCCCAATTATGGCCCTTGTTAGGGGAAGCGGGGGGCTTGTCAAATCGAGGGCTCCAGCCCGTCCTCGTCTGGTACCCGATACCGGAATTCAATCAAGCCCACTGCCCCTACCCCCCTGGAGCCTCGCAAAAGTAGATCCCCAAAAATAATGAATAATATAAGAATATTAGTAAATTAATGGAATCAGAAACAAAGTAATAAAGATAACAATAATAATGACAATCGTCCCTGATCTACTTGTCATCCTCCGTTCGTCTCGCTGGTTCCTACTAGGGAATGCGAGAGTGGATCCCGATGATAGTGCCCCCATTCCGCTTTCCCCAGTAAGAACCAGGAAGTCTTTCTTCAACACTTTGCCTTCGAACTTGCTGGGCTCGCAGAGTTTAGCGATCTGAAAGTTTAACCGTCTTGTTTCTGTGGATCTACAATACCCTCTATAGCACTGTAAAGACCAGTGCAACCCCATAAGGATACTAATAACACGTTTCGCCTGTAAGCGGAGAGCATGGACGAGCAGAGCAGCGAAACATCCCCTTAAGTTGGGGCTGTAGCGTTCAGTCTGTCGGGCCTCGATCTAAAAAATGTTCCTCAGCCCAGGGTCCAGGGGTAATTGGGCTCGGATGGAACCTTATCGTCACTAAAAGAACTTCGAAGAACACCACACTCAGACCCAGCAACACAATCTGCCAAATGAACTAGAAAGCCTCACACCCGCCGTAACACAGAAACTTACAAAGCTTTTGAAACCGCCAAATGCCGCAAAAAGCCTAGCGAGGTCCTGCGCGAAGCGGCCGCAGCGGCTTCCGCGTCTGGCCAAGAAGCAACCCCAGAGGCCTCGACGATTCATAGGGATCCTTAGGGGTGTAGGGGGAGGGGGGTAGGGGGCCTTAAGGCCCATAATAAGGACTAATAAGGCCTATTTAAGGAAATATAGTCCCCTACACCCCTCCCCCCTACACCCCTAAGGATCCCTATGAACGATCTCGGCCCGCTCAGAGGGAATTGTCGGACATCCGGGGTTTTTCATCTAGGTTTCTTGTCAACCGATTGTAGGTCTTAAGGCTGGTTACTTAAAGGATCATGGGACTTAGTAACTAAGGGTTTTTATTAGGGTAACTATACTTATAACTACTTATAACCCCAATTAAGGTACTTATAACCAGACTTACGAAGTCCCATGATCCTCCAAGTACTATATGGCCACCGCCCCTCGATTCTGGAATACTATGTCTTGGTTCGCAGTAGAAGCAAGGTATAGCGCAACCTTAACTACGCATTGTCGCTCTACCTGCGCACTTACTGGCGCCTCAGCAGTGACATATGGGTATAATACTTGTAGTACTTAGAGGACCATGGGACCTAGCAACTAGGGTTACAAATAAGGTTACAAGAGTCTCATGATCCTCCCGGAAATTCGGTACTTCTCCAAATTGGGGGGGGCCCCTTTTCAGGTCCCAAAACTTAGTGTGGCACCCTTACAAAAAAGGCCTCAAAACGGACCAAGTCTTTTAGAGAACTACCCAGTTTCGCAAGCACGAGGATGGTCCCTGGCTCTTCACCTGCCAGAGAAAGGTCCGGAGCCTCAGCCAGCGCGGCCTGCGTAATACAGGGGGCTACATAATTGCCAATTATTACTATTATATTTATTATTACTAGTATTACTATTATTATTACTATAACTACTATTTCTATTATTACTATTATTATTATTAGTATTACTATCATTGCCAATACTATTTTGGGGGGTCCTTGTTATGAATATAGTATAACGGGCCCCAAAAACTGCTGACGATGTATATCCTGCCCTACCCATAATAAGGAACATACCATTCTAGGGTATTTAAGGTAGTGCAGGATTTATATCATCAACCGTGTGGGGGCCTTCGTGTTTCGAATCGGATTGCTTCAAAATGATTCTATATTGGCTGAATACGGGCCTAAAGTTTAGGGTTTCTAGGGGCCTTGACAATAGATGGGGTTTGGGGGCCTATTATCAGGGACCTTGAGCCGATAGCAATGCAAGCTTGCGGCTTTGATGCCGGATTCAAGAGGAAAGGTTCGGGGTTTGGGCTTTGGGGTGGGAAAGTAAATGTTTGGTGTCTGGGGCTGAGAGAGATGGTGTTCGAGGTTAGACGACGAGCAGAAGGCATCGGAATTTGTTGATGTAAAGATCTAGGGTTGAGGACTTAGCCGGCACACTTCTCAATAACTTCGCAGTCAGACCGCAAGCAAGGCTGCGCCGCACCTTAGTTCGCGGGACACCCCTGATTGTGGAATATGATGATACCCCAGGGAACTAGTCTGAACCCTCAGCAAATCGCTATACTACCTAAGCCCTAAGCCTTAAACCCTAAACCCTAATCCTTAAACCCTAATCCCTAAACCCTAAGCCCCTCATACCCCAGGCCCTCGGTCCTCCAAACATGGAGTGGTGCAAGGTCTTCCGGGCCCAAAGAGGGCCCGAGGGCCAGATATCCGGCAAGGGTGGCCTCGCCCCAGATCCCGGGACTTAGTAAGGCTGTGGGTATATACCCTAATTAGGTTTGTAAATATTCGTTATGACTATCATCACATTATTTCTAGCTTTATAGCTTTATAACCGTAGTTACTCTGTCCCATGATCCTTTGAGAAAATGCAGCGTGTTCCCAGGTCCTGGACGTCCTCCAATCCCATGCGAAGGCAGCAACCGTCGACTTTGGATAATTTTGTTTTTTACACAGGTTTGAAACGACTAAACCCTGAGACAGGGGCCTTCATAATCAGAATAGGTTGTTTTGGGGATAAGGCTCTATAGCTATGCGTGCACAGCAGAAGTTCATGGACAGAAGTTCCCCGGCAGGCATCAGTGGTTGCTGTGGTGCCGTGCGCAGTTTATATAGATCAACAAAGCGTTCTTGCCAGAGTCGCGCTGCGGCCACATCCTCCATGGGGACGACACAGTCATCGTTAAATCCCGTTCAAGACTTGATGAGTCGGGCTCCAGCCGCAGAGCTGCCCACATTTTTAACTTCGGCTCCTTGGGTTTGTTGGTGTGATTAGGGTTAAGGATTTATTAAGATTTTCTGAGCATTTTTCCGAAATTGCCCACGACCCGCCACGGTGCCGGCTCTGTGTTGGGGTGCAAGTCGTTGTGTCGCCGTTGCGCCGTGTAGCCGCCGCACCACGAGCGCAGCTTTCCCACTAATAGAGGCTGCCGAGTTCCTCTCTGTAATCTCTGCACAGATGCAACCTGGCTTCGTCCCGAAATAGCAGGACCCAGAACCCCGCTACATGCCAGACTCCTTGTTAGGAGGACCCCAACTTTCGAAGCCCCAACCCCTATGTGCCTTGAAACCGTCATAAGAAATCTTGGGACAACGCGAAACCCATAATCCTAAACCGTGGCTGTACAGGATGCCTCCCTCCGAGAGGATGCCTACCGAGCACGGTGGAGGCCAGCAGCGTTCAGGGTTCGATAAGCACTTCAAACCCCAACCCTAACCTCTAACGCTACTTAAGTTAAGCTGTTTAGGAACATACGAGCAAGACTTTCCTACGCTAACCTCTAACATTTAGCTCGTCGAGTACATTTGGAGAGAAATCGCGACAGGGAAAATTGACGTAAGCCTCCAACAACAGCCGAAACCCTAAATCCTGGAGCAAAGAGATTCCGAAATCGCATCGCCCTGTGCTCCAGAGCTATTATAGAAGCCCAAAATATTGCCAAGATTATTTCCTTGGGTTCCTGAATATAAGTTTACTATAAAGGAGCCCAAGACCCCATTCTAATTATAAAGGCCCCTGCATTACCTCGTGAAGGATCTAAAGCGCTATTCTATTTCTTCAGGCCCCTACATTAAGCCCCAAAAACCCTACTGGCAGGATCAGGGGACTTAGTAAGTAAGGTTATAAGTACCCTAATTGGGGTTACAAGTCATTATGAGTATAGCTACCTTATTTATAACCCTAGCTACTAAGTCCCATGATCCTTTGAGTAGAGCCCCAAAAACCCTAAAGGGACTTGTCCTAAGTCGCCCGAGGCTCGGCATCGAAGGCTACGATGCAGATCAGGAAGGCGCGGTCCTCCTTGCTTGGAGCATCGGGGGACATATGGAGTAGGTAGAGGGTTTCGGGTTTAGGCTAGGTATAGGGTTTCGGGTTTAGGGTTGGTTTAGGGTAGGTATAGACAGACAGAAAGATAGATAGGTAGATAGATGAATAGTAACCGAGGTTCCTTCCAAGAGCATTACACAGGGCCTCTTGTAGCTAACCTCAACATTGTCAACGCTTGGCCATTTAACCTTCTTTTGGCCGGCAACTAACTCGACGTCTGATTTGGGAGAGGTTTCGATACTTGGGTGTTTGAACCTGAACCCTAAACTCGACACCCGCCGAAACCCCAAATCCTAAACTCCCCTAAACCCTTAGCCCGAAAGGCTAAGGCTTTGCTTTTAACTCCCTTCTCGTTTAGGGCACAGGGAGGCTTGAGGCAAGAAGCTCCAAGGTCTTTAGTTGAAGACTAGTCGTTGACGACGATCAGGACAGTAGGAATAGTTAAGAAGGGAATCTGTCAATAACCCTTATGCACCCGTTTTGGAATCTCAAACCATGCTGGCTGCAGGCAACCTGGATGTGATTGCAGCCATGCTCGAACATCGCCAGGCCTGGCTTGCCCGGGGAGGGCTTTCAGCAAGGTGTTCTAGCATTCTTGAGGGCTTCCATCGAGTGTCGATAGGTTTGTTTTTAGTGATGTATGCACAGGCTCCTCGATCCAGGGACATATCTTGCGTCAGAATAAGTAGTCTAGCTCAGGTGTATTCCTGAATAAAGGGTTATTGGGAACCCTAAACCCTAAACCCTAGTCCGTCTTATTGCCTGTGCAAGAGATGATGGCCAGGGCAAGTAGGAGTCAGGACTCGAACGGATCTCACACGGGGTGTTGTTATAGTCTCCTTAGGAATTACTTTTTTGTTCATCTAAAACCCAAGAGCATATTACAAATTCTATTTTTATTCTGGTTCTAACGGGGGTATAGGTTTTTTTTGTTCATATAAAACCCAAGAGAATACTAAACAAACTGTGTTGATAGTGGTTCTAACGGGGGATAGGTTGTAGTGCTTGAGTAAAAGGCCTTGGCAATTAGAATGGGGTATATCGGACAAGCAGGGCCCTTGACCGCTGCGGAGGTCGAGGGTTTGGAAGAGCCGGTTCTGCGGCCAACTCACGAGTTCGTCAACATGGCAGCAGGATTTTGCTCCCCACACCCCCGGGAGGATCCCAAAAGTAGATCCCTTAACGCGGGTTCCTATACTGTAAAGTATTACTAGCATAGGGCCCCAAATTAGGGGATCTTTCCAGATCCTCCCGGAACTCTGGGTTAGTTTGCTAGGCCAACGTGGGTCGCTGGAGTGACGCTCACGCTGCTGATCTGTCGACGCTCGATAAATCTGGCCGTCGACCGGTGATCGAAGAGAGGGACGTCAGGCATAAAACTGAGTCAAGTGCAGGGCGCAGAACTAACATAGGGGATAAGCGTTGCTATTATTTCTTGCGGTCTTGTCCCTTATAGTATAATTAAAGTTAACCCCAGAAAGTTGGAACATTGATTTGGGATGATTAGTGCTGGGATCCCGTATGCTTTACCTTAAGGGCATGAGGATCATGATGTTCCAACTTTCTGGCTTCTACTATAGCCCTTAATGCATCCAGATGCTCCGGAAGCAAAGCGTGGTCTCCAGCGGCGGATGGAAACGTCCAATCTCTTGGCTAGGACCTAGAGTAGCCCATTATTCCCTTTTTAGGGTTCAGGTTCCCTTATAAGCCCCTTTAAACCAAAAAGGGCACCCTTTTTATTCCTAGGTTACTCTTGGGTCTAGTTGGGGTTTGGCCCTGATTGCGGCATGATGCCCTAAATCCTGAGCCAGACCCCCTTTGGAGGATCTAGAAAGTAGATCCCCTAATTTGGGGTCTTATACTACCAGGGTACTTTATAGGAACACTCATTATGGGGTCGTTGTAAGATCTCGCTGTTTTATGATCCCCTGATCCTATGCGAGCCTTTTGAAGCATTTAAACATTCAAGTTCTTGTGGGCCCCCCAGATCGTGGTTATCATCTAAAATTAAAAACCTTGTCTACGTAACGCATGTATAAGCACATACACGTGCTACCTCCTTCATTCATGAAGGAGTACCCTTCGAATCAAGATGAGGAACCCTGCATAATTTGAGGTAGATTCCTGAATGAGAGGGTATTGAGGGCTCTGGGTAACTGCACGATTCTGCCGAAGACCGAGGACTCTTTGAATGAAGGAACCGAGGACTTAGCAGGTAGGGGATATGTAGTATAGGGATCGGAACAAAAAAACATTTTTCCTGGGTGTTCCTGTTCCGTAGCATAGCTGAACGATAGCCCCATTCGAATTATTAAGGTCCCTAGATTCTGGATTTAGTACATGGGAGGTAGGTAGGGCTATCGCAAGGATACTCGTACTTCGGCGACTCGCAGCCCCAGCTATACCTACTTACTCAGTCTTTACATACAAGCTCATTCTTCTCGCATGCCCAGTTCTGGGCAACCACGCTGGGCCCAGCACTCAGCTTCTCCAAAAGACCGAGAAAGGGTTACAACATACACCAGGTTTCCGAAAAATCGAGAGTGTTTTTGTGGTTGGTTGCAACACAGATCCTACTCTACTTGTTGGGGCCCATGCGGGGAGGTACCTATCTGTGGAAGCTCAGACTTTCATGGATGGATGGTATGCATGGGGCTACGCAGGAGCAGCATCTTCTTTCTAACAACTTACCTTTGGTTAGTAGGGGAATGGAGGAATGGGGTACAAGTAAAGCTACTATTACTACCATTCTTCCATGCCCTACTAACCAAAAGTAAGACAACCCTAGGGCTCGCGCTGTTGCCTGACAGCCCCTTCCTTTTCCAAAGCCCAAAGGCCGCAATGCCCCACCCTAAAATTTAGGGGCCTTAACAATCAGAATAGGGTTTTGGGATATATTACACTATCGCTATAATCAGGAACGCCCCCCAAAATAGTAAACCGTTTTGGTAGAGTAGGTATGTTCCTGAGTAGTACCCTTTTGCAGTTTTTCTCTTTTAAGTAGAAGGAAAAGGATACCCTTCTCATTGAGGGCCTAGTCAGGAATTTAGGTAAATGAGCCCTGGGCCCTGGGCCCTCAATCCCTCCACTCCAATGATCCTCTTGCCCTACAGCCCAGTATTTCAATACCCCACCCTCGAACAGAGCCCCGAAGGGAACCCTTAAAGGAAATCATGAACGAAGGCTTTCAAGGCACTTTGATAGAACCCTTCAGACCCTACCCAAAACCCTGAACCCCCAGACCCTAAAGCCTAGCCCTATCCCCTAAACCCCTAAGCCCCAAGCCCTACATGGGCAGAGCTCGTTACGCAGGATTCCCGAGCTTCGCAGACCTGGCCTTCGAATCTCGGATGTCAACCCGAGAGGAGGCGCTTGCAGTTTTTAAACTCGGTATAGGGTGTAGCGGCTAGGGTTGAGGGGTTTAGGGGTGGAGGGTTTAGGATGAAACCCACCAAGTAAGTTAAGGATGATTCGTGCTGGGGTTCCTTCTTCTTTTGCCTTAAAGCACAGATGGAGAATGATGTTCCAACTTTCTGGCGTTGACATGCCCTTACTTTGGGGGTTCAGGCTTTAGTTTGAAGCTTACTCGAAGGATTCCTGGAAGGGTTCCCTTAAATGGCCCTTCGAGGAGCCTTTAGAGGATCCCTTAAGAGACCGCTAAAGGATTCTATGGAGGGTTGAAGGTTGAGCTTCCTTATTAGGGTCCCCTAATATGGTTTCTTTATGTAAGTCCCTAAAAATGTAGGTTATTTGGGGTTAAGGGAGGAGTAATGAGTTCAGGGATGTTACTATTTTTGCTTTAGCGAAGTCGGTTGCGGTACTGGGGGAAACCGCCGACTATCTAGGCTTGTAGACATTGGATTGGGGGAGGTTCACGGATCACAGTGGGCTATGATACCTTTTCCTGATTCATAATAATAAAGAAACATAACACCAGGATATTCCAAACACCTAACCTGTGGTTGCGCTTCCTATCATTCGATTTGTCTTTGTGCTAGGAACACAAGAACCATGCCCTAAACCCGAAGCTCTCGACCCCAAAAGACCTGAACTCTGCGTCCAGTGAATTCCGCAGAAGTGCGAGACCCGTACACACATGGCATTGAAATCCGTACAAAGTCCCGGCAAAACGCTATGACCTATGGCAAAAGTCACACCCAACCTCCAACCTCCTTAAACCCAAGCAGCTAAACCTCGCAAGCTGCAACGAACAGAGGTCAACAAGCAGCAGCCACTTCAAACCCCATGTAGTGCCTTTGTCAAAACTACCGCAACCGAACTACATGGCCAGCCAAAGGACATGAATATGGGTTTTCAGGCCAGGCACCGAGTGCGAGTATAGTGACTGTCTAGTGGCGTCCCAAACTGTATTCGTTCGTTGTTCTTCATGGATTCGAAAACGTAGTAGTAGAGCAAGTAACCTTCAACGGGTACCATGATCCCTATAATCATAGACTCCCAACAAGGCTATGTAGTCTACTACTAGTAGTCTCTAGCCTTTTTTGTGGTACTACGAGGCCTCCACAGTCTTATACGGAAAACCTTTGGCTCTCCTAGGACACCGGACAAGCCCCTAAACCCCTAAACCCTAAATGGGAGTTTCCGAAAATTTGGGGTACCTTATTTTGGGGGTCCTTATAATAGTCACCCTACTATTTAGGGTACTATATTAGGGTCCCCTAATTTCGGAAAGTCCCAAATCCCCGAAACCCCTAAACCCTAAATCCCTGAAACCCCTGAAACCAAAACCTTAAAATTGCTGGAAAACAATGGAGCAGGTGGAGGCCACGCTTGGCGTTCTACGACAAGCTGGCGAGGCGGCTTGAGAGTAGTTTTTTGGACTGCCTGATGCATTTATGGATTCGCAGGGGGTTTATGTGCTTCTAAATACACCCGAAACAATATCCCCAGACAAGAAACCCTACACCCTAACCCCAAACGATTGAGAGATCAAACCAGAAGCTCATTAGGGGATCTACTTTTCAGATCCTTCCGGAGCCTGGCAAATTCAAGATCAAAAGACTTCTGTAGTCTATACAGTTTTGCGCAAGAGTTCTGTTGGGATGTGTTCTTCAACTTCACCGTGCAGGTCACTGTACTGAACAACTTGAGCTGGATTTCGGAAGTATTATGCCAAAACTAGGAAGCCCAAGGAATACTGGTAGTAATGGTTGTGACCTCTATATTCGGTGTGCTGGAGATGGAGATCTGGAGGCATTCGTATTTAAAGCCTTTCATGCCGCCACTTTGAGTCATGGTGTTTTTGATCTGATGTGTCGCAGTGGCTACGTTGAGTATATGTAGAGCTACTGGCGAAAACAATTCGAGCTTGATGAGAGGATGCTTGAAATAATTCCTTACTCCGAAAGATGTATATGACTCCTCTATCCACATCCACTTGCCAACTAAGTATCTGCACAATTGAAATGACGCTTCGGCCTTCGTGTTTGCAAACTTCGGACCGCTACGCAGACCCTTCAGAGTATCCAAGAAGTACATCAATTTAGGGGATTCCTACCAACACTCTTTAGTAGTGTAGGGTCTCGGATTAGGAGATCTACTTTTCACTCGGCTCCTGAGTAGTACCCTTTTGCCGTTTTTGCTTTTGGGTTCCCTTTTGAAAACCAAATCTAGGAAAAATGGCACCCGAGCACAGGTCGGGACTCTGAACTAGGAGGTCTACCTAAGCCCTAAACCCTACCCTAGTAACTTTGGTCGTGTAGGGTCTCGAATAAGAGATCTTCCTAAATACCCTAAACCCTTAGGCCCACCTTGTAACCCTTAGCCCTACCTTAGTAACTTTAGTAGTGTAGCTAGGACCTAGAGTATTCCTTTTTTCAGGGTTCAGGTTCCGTTACAAGCCCCTTTGAACTTTAGGGTCTCGAATTGAGAGATCTACCTAAACCCTAAACCCTAAGCCCTACCTTAGTAGCCTTAGTATATAGCGTAGGGTCTCGAATGAGGAGATCTACCTAAGCCCTAAGCCCTACCTTAGTAGCCTTAGTATATAGTGTAGGGTCTCGAATTAGGAGATCTCCCTAAACTCTAAACTCTGAGCCATTATGAAATTGAAAGTTGACACTTTTTGGGGCCTTATGAACTCAGCAACTAAGATTAGGAGATCTCCTTTTTAGCTCCGGGGCCCGGGATCTGGGTCCAGGCGGCCTCCAAGGATGAGCTCCAGGCAAGGACGACAGGGGTGATCAGAGAGGGGCTGCGTTTTAAATTACATATTATAAGCTATAGATTATATTGTATCATATTTGTTATTCTACTATATTAAATTATACTGTATATTAAATTATACTGTAAATAAAAAAGCATAATGTAGTGGTATTCCGTATATTGAGGGTTTCATAGGGCTTCCATAATATGATGAAGAGCTGATAGAAAGACAGAATGTAGTGTTACTCCTCATGTTTAGGGTTCCATCATAGGGTTTTTTATCATGAAGGGCTGATAAAAAAAGAACATAATGTAGTGCTAGTCCTTAAACTTGGGGTTCCACAGGGTTTCTGTCCTGAAGCGCTGATAGAAAGACATAATGTACTGTTACTCCTTATGTTTGGGGTTCCATATGGTTTCTATCTGGAAGGGCAGATTTAAAAAAATAACATAATGTAGTGTTAGTCCTTAAACCTGCCGTTCCATAGGGTTTCTACAACAAAACAAGGGTCTTCCCTCGAGGGGGTGATAAACGCATAGCAATATTTATCAAAAGGTTTCCATAGGGTCTCGATAATAAAGGGTCTGTATTGGGTGTTAGGAATAATTGTACTTTTCCTGAGGGTGCCGTAAAGATGCGTCAACCCGACCTCCGTAATTGAGGGGTCCTGGGTAGGGTTTCAGGAATAACACCTACAGTAGTAATTACTTGTCCTTAGGTTCCTTGCTTTTATCATCTTTGTATACCCAGACCCCTTTGGAGGATCTAGAAAGTAGATCCCCTAATTTGGGGCCATATACTACTAAGGGTACTTTATAGGAACCCCCATGAAGGGATCTACTTTCTGGATCCTCCAAAAGGGGGTCTGGGTAGTAAACCCAAAAACCGTATTCATCAATCAGAGTCGTTCTGGATGGGAAGGGTCTTCATTGTCTGCGTCTCCGCATTCCTGAAGTCACTGTATAGGTCAGAATATCTACCAAAACTATTCCCTAGGGTTCTCATCATAAAGTGGGAGTTTCCGAAAATAGGGGACCCTGACATAGTACCCCTAACCAGGAGGATCCTTATTGTACGGACCCCAAAATAGAGTACCCCTAATTTTTTCGGAAATTCCCATATCGCGCAAAACCCTGCTCCGATTGCTGACGCCTCTATATTATCCTCGAAACTTTCGGAGGCCTCACAAGGTGGGATGAAGGTAGGTGGGATTAAGGGTCCCTTATATGAGGACTCTTAATAAGGACTCTTATTTGGGAATATCCCACTTCATCCTACCTCTTGAGGCCCCCGAAACTTGTGATGTTGCTGTCCTTGGTAGTCTGCCGGTGTTTGGCATATGTCCGTCAAGCTCATTCCCGGGTGTTACGGGATCTATGTTGTGCTGGTGGTTGCAAGCAGATTCGCACCGATGCTGCCTGTGTCCGTCTAGTACCTATGTCTTCGCAATACCAAAACCAGGACCCTGGCTGAGATCCCTTAGTACCTTTGTTACTCGCCTCTTGCACCCCTAGGCCCGACAATCCGAAAAGTCAAGCCCCGAAGCTCTAAAAACTAAGCCGGGAAACACCCAAATCAGCATCTTACAGCTACCGTATACTAGGCATTTTTTCGGGCTCAAACTACTTCAACATAACCTGAAGTATCGGGGGGCTTGATCGGGTCATAAGCTGTTAAAGATTTGGTTCACGGGCTGCTGCGAGGGCAGAGAAGTCGTCCGACATGGCTTCCACGAGCACTCAGACCAGGAAAGTGCGCACAAAGGAGCAGGGCATTCAGGTTGGTAAGACGATGATCAAGCCCAAGGCGAAGAAAAGACCGGCACCAGCACCCGGCATCATTCTGACGCCGGCCAAGGCCCCTGCTGATGCTGCTGACCTGGACAGAGAAGATGCCATTCGTCGCCAGGCGGGTCAAGCTGTCATGGCGACGGCTCCATGGAAGCGGCGTAAATCTGCTCGGGTGTCACTGAAGCCGAAATCGGATGCGGAGCCACTGTCAGGGAATACTACGGAGGTCAGCATGACCCCTCTTCCTGCCTCGGGGCATGCACCCGATGTTTGGTTATCTCTAGTCCTCAGCCAGTACAGAACATTCTGCGTTCTGCATCCTCAACCCTAGTTGAATCTTGGTGCATAGCTGCAAGATTTCTGCAGGACGCCAAAAGGATCCCCACTCCTGTATTCTGGCTATGGCATCGATATTTGTAATGCGCTCTAGCTGTAAGCCGTGTACATGGTACATAACCTTGGTGAACACCTTGAGTGCTGAACAAACCCTACTGCACCTACCACCCCAAACCCGAACAATCCTAAAGCCATATCTCGAAACCCTAACATCCAACGCGGTACATGTGTACATGTGGGGGACCCTAAAATACTACCCGAAATAATCGGATCCTTATTATCACGACTCCGAATAAAATATCCCAATTTTCGGAAACTTCCATATGCCCAGCATGTGGCTCAGGAGCTGCAAGCGTATGCAGCCGAGAAGGGCTCGGATGGGGAGCTGGAAGCCTGGGACCGGCTTTTGGCCTTTGCTTTACTTCTTAGTAGCTGGGCGGATGCACTTTACACTTTTTGCCCGCTATAAAACTGAAAGAGCACACTCTTTGCGGCTTGTGAACTCAGCAACTAGGACTTCGTAGTAGAGCTTTTTAGTGGCCGTAATGATTAGAATAGGGTTTGGGGGATTACACTATAGTGATAGCCTTTGTTTTACTTAGTAGTAGAGTAATTTAGGGGCCGTATTGATTAGAATAGGGTTTTGGGATATATTACACACTATCACTATTAATCAGGAACCCCCAACATAGTAAACCGTTTTGGTAGAGTAGGTAACTAGGTTCCTCAGTAGTACCCTGTTTGCCATGTTTCTTTTCGGGTTCCCTTATAATGGTACCAACTAGCAGGAAAAGGGTACCCTTATCATTCAGAGCCTACTCAGGACCCTAGGTAAGCGTTGACCTTCTTGGGGCTACCATAACCACATTGTAGCAGAGGTGTTCTTCACTCGCAACCCTAAACTTAAATGCCTCCTCGGCCCATGGTATCCCCGAATGGCATCCCCAGCCCGGAACCCTCATGTCACCCTCATAGAACCCTTACGGATTGCATACTGCCCCCACTCAGCAACAGTTGAAAAAATATTTCTCACACGGATATACAAGGGCCTTCATGGTAATGCTTTACCGGAGGGAGGGCAGCACCCACCCTAAACCCTCATAGAACCGGTATAGAACCGTTGTGGAGTCCTATGTAGAATCCTTTATAGAACCCTTGTGGAAACCTTACGGAATCTATAGAAGCCTTATGTAAGCCTTACGGAGTCCTAAGAACACCTTTGCCCCTGCAGGACCTGGCATACTGGCGCCGGGCCTTGATCCAAGAGCGCTCGGGCTTCCAGGCGGACCCTACTCCTTACTATAGGTTACGGACCAAAAAGGGACATAAGCATAGGCATTTATCGGGGGTATCCCTACCTTATTGGGCTTCATTCTAAAGGTTTTTTTGGAATATCCCCAACAGGTGCCTTACTAATTAGAAAGGGGATAGAATTGTCGGACAATATACCCCAAAGCCGTCTTAAGGAAACTTCTTAAGGCCCCTAAATTACCCGTAATGAAGCAATCGTAAGGAACGGGTAAGGGATCTATACAGGCTATATAGAGTTTCTATGTGGCATCTGAGCCTACAGTGGCCTACAGGGTTTTAGAGGCTTCTATGCACTACTTAAGCGCATACCGAGCTTCTTCTTGCTCTGCTTGCGGGATTTCCCCTTGACTTAGGTTGTGGAGGCCTGTTCGTACGGTCGTAGTGTGTGTGATATAAAGAGAAAAAGAAACACTATTACTAACTCTATGTTCAAGGAGTAGCATGCATCGGCCTTCTAGCACGCGAGGGAAAAACGATGTCGGTGTTGCACAGCTTGGTGACACGCTCTAAGCCCGGCAATATCGGGTGTTACCTTTAGGAGGACATCAAAAACCGCCACCTTCACAAGCCCGCCTTGCACAGGGGACTCAAGCAGTAGGGATTGTCCATTTGAAGAATGGCGACCAACGTTAACCTACCAAACCCTAAACCTCTTATATGGAGTTTCTAGGGATCCTGCAAAAAAGTAGGTTTTGGTAGATAAAAGGTAGATCGGCCATCATGAGCCTCCGCAAGCTGTCAACTCCGAGGGTTAAGCCTTCCTCAAATCAATAGGGTTTTGTGGTTTTAGCTAACTACAACCCTGCTCATAACGTGTTTACCAAGTTGACTGATCCGTGCGGTATAGAGCCTGGGTGTAGTTCTGGATGCTCCGTTTCCTTCCTCCGTCAAGCAGTTGTAGTACATGGTCCTTGGAGGACCGTGGGACTCAGTAACTGCATGGTTACTATAGTTGGGGTACGACCAACCTTACTTGCTAAGTCCTATGATCCACCAAGCTGGGTTTGAAATCTAGGCCCTAGGCTTTATGGTTTAAAGCAAGCCCCCTCCCCCCCCCTCGACTACGTTGCTAGTTTGGTGGGACCTTGTAGGACAAGGTTATGACAGCTCCCCTACGTGGAGGATCATGCGACTTAGTACGTGAGGTTATACGTACCCTGATTGGGGTTGTAAGCAAGTATAGCTTTAGTAAAATGGTTGATAACCCAAGTTACTGAGTCCCATGATCCTCCACGTAAGCCCTGGCCCTCAACCCGAAATGGAGCCCACAGCTCAACTTGTTCGTTCCGACGAGTAATGAAAACATGGGTTTGGAGTTGGGGGTGTAGGGTTTAAGGTGTATGTTTCTGGGTCTTGTGGCTGTACGAGTTGTTCGAATAAGGGTCACGCTTTAGGAGAACATGCAAATCCCCGTAACTTATGAGCGTTGAGGCTATAGTTTTGCATCGAAGAGGTGCTTAAGGTCATGAGACCTGCTTTGTGGAGAGGAAGCCCTTTAGGATATGGCATGGGTTTAGGCTTTAAACTTCGGGCTTCTAGGTTTAAAGCTTCGCCTAGATCCCTAACTCAGCAGTCTCGCACTTAGCATCCCAGTACTTGAAGGATCATGAGACTTAGTAATTAGGGTTATGAATAGGGTAACCATAGCTATAATTACTTATATCCCCAATTAGGGTACTTCTAACCTTACTTACTAAGTCCCCTGATCCTTCAAGTACTACCATGTTGGGAGTTTCCGTTCTCCGAACTGAATAACACCGAGACCCCTATGAGGATCCCAAAAAGTCGACCCAATAAAGGGTTTCCGGTAAACTACCCCTTTGAAGGATAAGGTTCGAAATTGGTGGATCTACTTTTGGGTCCTTCCAGAAGTCTGGTCCGCGAGGGGATACCGGGGAACCCAAGATAGGGGCACTGTGAGATCGTATTGAAGCGCCCTGAGGAATAATGCTGGTAATTTTTCCGGCTTCTACGTTAAGCCTTAATCCCTAAACCCTTACCCAGACCCCGACAGGATCTGAAATGTAGATCCCCGATGTTGGGGCTCTGAAGTACTAGAGGGTCTCTTTTTCAAGGGCTCTAGCTTTCGGATCCTCCCAGAGTTCCGAGATATCGAGCCCCGGAGCTGATCCGCGGTCCCGGAGCTGATCCGCAAGGATGGGTTGTACCGAATAAGCCCATGATTCACCTGCACGAGTTGCCACCATCTGAAACCTAGTAGTAGAGTAGGTAGCCTTTAACCTTTTTTGGGGGTATTATAGTCCCTATATGATCCCTTTATAACCCAGAAGGTTAACCTATAGTTCCCCATGATACCCGACAGGTAGGGAAAGATTCACGACCAAAAGATGCAATATTCTGACGGAGCTTAGAGTGGGACTCTGTGATTAGAGTTGCGTAGGGCCTATAACCCTACATTATAGCAGGCTAGTAGAAGATCGCGGGCACCAGCGGATGTCGTTTGTTTGGCAGCTTGACAGACGAAGGAGTGACGGAATACAGTTGTCATACGTGACATGCATCTGGCCTTTGATTGAAAAGAAACGAAACCAAATCCCATACTAAAGCTATGAAGCGTTCGCATGGCCAGCATGCTGCTTGCGGTGCGGACCGGCCTGTGTAGGATGTTGGTTGTTGCTGAAAATTTTGGGCTGGGGGCACGAGACATTCCGAACCTAACCTAGGATCCCCAAGCTTGAATGACGGCTCAAGCCTGCAACTCCATCAGAACGGGTCCACATTGGAGAATTTGCCACCATCTTTGCACATATTTACGGAGTACCGAAAGTCCTTCCATGTCACCTCGCTGCCTTACAGGCACCGGTAAGCTTGTCAGTGTTGCACCAGGATGCCGATCTCAAGCCATATCTCCCGCTGCCTGCAGTGCCCGGGAACCCAGAGTGCAGGCTGTTTTCGGGCACTGCTTGTCGCGAGGGTCTCGCCCTCGGGAGCAGCTAGTTGAGCTTCTCCTTAGCAAGAACTAAGTAAGCAACGACCTGCGGTGTATGTCCTTGGCAAATGATGCTCGAGGTGCGCGTGCCTGCCAACTTAGCTGGACACCATCATCGTGAGGGGCAGGGCATGTTCTCAACAACGAATGTATTGGCACCGAGCAGCAGTGCTAGACTACACGTGGTGGTCACCGAGCAACACCTCTGTTTCTGCTCCCCAGGCCCTGATAAAGCACCGACAGACATGCTCGCATTGGCATTTCGGGGATTACTATCGGGGCGGCTCCGCAATACTAGTACCAGTACTACAACTACTAATGCTACTACTATTTCGGGTCGTCAGAAGTGCGTGGACGCCTTGAGTCTCCGATCAGCCTGGCTGATTGCCGATCCGCGATCGTGTATCATCGATGACGGTGTGCGCCGACGGCTACTACTACTCCTACTAACCACGACGACGACGCCTACGACTGCTGCTAGTACTATAACTACTACCATCACGACGACGACTACTACTACTAACCGCACCAATGTCAGCACCATTCCTGCGACTAAAGCGTCAGTAGTTGTTTATGAACAGCCGGAGCAGAAGCGTGTCTTCGTTATCATTGCTTTCGTAGTACTGTAGCATTGCCCTCGATCATATTTGGGCAATAAGCCGCCACGGTTGCCTTGCTTCGGCTATTCCAGGCCATGCTGGCGCTAATTTTGTCTGTAATTGTTACCTCATGTTTGCAAGCATTGTGCCACAGCGAAAGCAAATATTTCTCCTTCCAAGTTAATGTTCCTTGTACCGAGAGATACAAGACGGCAGCAACAATCGCATTTCCAAGCAAGCATGCTTGCCGTTTTGGAAGATGTAGTGGACTCTGTCAAGACTACCCAAAACCACATGAACCACAAGCGCACAGGCCCGAACTCCAAATCAGAAGCCTTAAACAGAACTCCTTTCAACCCTTACCTACTATCCCAAGGCTCCGCGGCCTCTTCTCGTTGCTTGAGCATCTGTTCGGGGCTGCTTGGCGGCACATTTGTGGTTTGCGGTCTTCTGGTTTACAGTTCACGGCTACGGGCTTGCAACTTGCTCTTCCCCAGCAGGTTGCCGCAGTTAAAATCGTTCCCAGTTATTTCTCCCACAGCTTGCAGCAGCAAAACGCCGAGCCACAATATTCCAGAGTTATTTGCGAACCAGCCCTGCTAAAAATGGAAGCCCTCTACCGGATGTTTGGTTCAGACGTGAGATTCGCGTCGGACTGACGCTTTAGCTTTGTTGTGCTTTACTGGTCTTGCAGCTTCGGTGAGTTGGGGTACAGTCCGAGATCCGCACCGCCAATATGTCATTTGTCAGGTTAGGTTTCTGGGAAACTGTTTCGCAGGCCGAACTTTATCATGATTAGCTGGCATTGGAGACAACTGTGGGAGCCTGCTGTAGACAGTAGAAACGAAATAATGAGAGGACACTCAACATGACGGCCCCCCAAAAAATTACCCTTGTCTTCAGAAGCCCCCACCCTGGCTCGTTTGGTTTTGGGGTTGGGCAGTCACATCTAAGCCTCCTAAACCATAAACAAGCCCAGATCGTCTTGAAAACCCGTAGCGCGGAAATTCTGTACAGCCCTCATAGAACCGTAAGCTTCCCTTCTGCAACAACCCGAGAACCTTTTCAATGACTTTAGGCGTTTTACTTTGAGGGTCGGAGGACTTGCTTATTCATGAGTGCCTTAAGTGGGGTTCTCATTGGGATTGCGGTACTTATATCTCTAGAGAGCAGCTACATAGTAAGTCTTCCGAAACTTCCGACCCTGCAAGTAGAGTTCTGGATCCTTCACGAGCTAATGTAGGGGCCTGAATACTTAGAGTATGTAGGGTTTTGGGGGTTCCTTATTATATTTATAGTATAGTACAGTATACTCTCAAACCTTGTTCTGACTATTGAGGCCGCTACATTATGGGCTTTTGAACGCGCTGAGGTCTCTTTCGAGCCAGCCACCGGTAGGAGAGAGGTTCCCCTCTGGCACAGGACCTCCCGGAGTTTAGGATTTAGGGTTTAGGGTTTAGGGCCTCCCCTCGAGTTTCTTCAAGTGCTTGCAGAGGGATTTGTGTGGTCTTGCGGGACTAAGGGTTCTGTAGGATTGTATCGGTTTTTCAACGAGTTTCAGGAGGCTTTGTACGGGTTGCATGCGGCTGGTAAGGAACATAACTGGAATCCGAGAATGTACTGTTTTGATTCCATGGGCTCCATAGTAGTTCCTTTTTGGGATTACCCTATACGGTTCTAGATATGCACCCCAAGAAGGAACTACGATGGAGCCTCTAGGTAAGGAGACATTCCTCAAAAGAGGTATTGGGCTCTCTGGCCGGGCAGTTGCTATGCTCTCCTTTAGATTTATTCTTCATTTTTGGTTCATATAAAACCCAAGAGAATATTAAACATACTGTTTTTGTTATGGTCCTAAGGGGGGTATAGGTTAGAGTCTAGGACGTCCTCTGATGTCGGCGTTGCGGTTTAGGACTTCCAGGCCCGAAGCCCTTCACACCGAAACCCTCGATATAAACCCCAAGCTCCGAAGAGCTCCAAAAGCCTCTATAGAACGCTTTAAGCCCCAAGTTCTCCTTTAGACCTTGAAGGAAACCTGAAACCCTGAAGTTTCAAGTTTCAGAGCCGGCTTTTCTCGATTCAGCTGCAGGAGCATTCGCTTCTTCCGGCTGGTGGATCGAGAGTTGCACCTGAGTGGCAAGAAGTACCATAAGAGGTGGAATAGGGGGAGTGGGGCCGGGGGTGGCGGGTCAAGAATTAATTCTGCCATGCGGAGCTCGGGGGATCTAGTGCAAAACGATGATGGGGACCTGAACAACCTAGGTCGTTCTTGCATGACAAATGAATGGCACATTGCAGATCATGTCTATCCTCCACTGGTGTGTAATTATGTCGGATTCCAAGAACTGGCCTGTCAAACTATGGCCAGAACTAGCCACGAAACTCCAAATCGATAAGCAACCAGAATTTTATCTAGAATGCAGCATAGCTAAGTTATGTGTTCGGGGCAAGTGTGGTTTAGAACTGTGAAGGGCTCGGGTCCCCAATGCATTGTAACCAAAGAACCGGCAGACCTCAAACTGAGTTAGATCCTGGAATCCTACACCGTGGCCTTGTACACCAAAGCATAACCTGCTTTTGTAGTGCATCCTCAAAAGCCCTCGCTTATAGGGGACCTACAAAAAACTGGGCTTCGGTAGGTTAAGCTATACTGGTAGCACTCAAAAGCATATCTCATGGTCTCTAGAAAATTAGTAAAATCAGTATAATCAATGTAACCCCAAACGTTAGGGTCTCCACCAAGGGATGTAATTATTAGTAGTAGTATTCCTCTGTAGTCCCTATATAACTATATTATATTTGTGCTACAGTGCCCCCCGAGAACCCTCTTCGAAGCGTTAACATCCCTGTATCGTGGCATAATGTGGTGCAGTAAGGGCCAGTCCGGGTTGTTTGTGTCATACTCTGCAGCGGCAGATTTCCTTGCAAACTCCTCCCTAAACGCCAACTTTCTGATTCTTGAAACTTCCAGCCAAAGTCTAAAGCCCTAAACGGTAGGTAACGCTTTGCCCTTCTATGTTTACATGCCTACTGTAACCAACTGAAAGGTTAGACTTTTTAGTGCTAGATATTCGGATCAGAAGAAGCAGAATGCACTTTGACCTGCCGCCCGCATATCGCTGAATTCAAAGCTCTACGTCGGCAGCTGTCCTCAACCCGCAGCCTTAAGACCAATAGCGCTGAGGCAGTTCCCTTTCGCCGGTTTGTATCTGGACATGCCTGCAACTCAGGATTTTGAGTGTTGGTTGCCTTGGCAAGAATGCCGAGAGAGAAAGCGAGAGAGAGAGAGAGAGTGTGTGTGTGTGTGTGTGTGTCAACATACATGACCAGGTGGATGACAGCAGCTAACAATCCTGAACTCTCATAGTGGCCTCAACAGGGTGTTGTCGCTGCTTTGCACGGGTTCGAAAAGCACTCGGAGATGAGTTGTTATAAACCTCTACTTGGAGGTCCATGGGTAGTTTTCAGTAGGGCTATAAGTCCCCTGATACGGGTTGTAAGTATAGTTGTCCTACCCATAACCCTGCTTATAACTACCCATGAACCTCCAAGTATACGCATCTTTGAGGTTGGTATAGTCTCAGAGTCTCGGAGATCCGTCCCACCGGGGTTTCGGAACCCGTACAGGACCCTCTTCGAAACCAATTCCACAGCGACTCACGGTAAACCCGAAAAGCAACGCGAAGTCTGCAAGTCTGATCAAACCTCCCAGACCCTGAGCTCTAGGATTCTCGCAGAAGTGCCCTTAAAACCGAGACGTTACCCTCGACCCTCGCACATTGAAAACAGGCTTCAGCAAGCAGAGATCCATAACGCCCTAAACCCCAAACTCTCTCGGACGCGCCACAAACGTTCGAGAACGCGCCTAGATCCCCAGCCCTAAACCCTGACACTCTCGACAAGGTAACCCTAAGCCACAACACAACCCACCTCAAACCCTAAATCCTCGAATAAGGACCCCTAGGAATATGCACTTAATATAGCTATTATATACCCATTATATAGCCCATTATAGGGTAGGGGTCCCCATTTTGACGCCATACCCGCAGACTCTCGCTCACGAGGTTCCAGCACGAGGAGAAGCTTCCCTCGCCAGATGGCGGATTCACAGCTGTCGGCATTCCCAGTCCGGGGTTTCGAATGTCCCAGGATCCTTGAAGGGTCCGTCGGGGCACTTAGAAATAACTTTTAATTTTGGGTTATTATAAGCCCTAAGAAACTGCTAAAATCATATTTTTTGATAGGGTTCTAAGTTCAGTATAGTATCGTCGCGGGCGGAGGGTGGTGTTTCTCTTTTGCATCCTTCCATGGCTGTGGGTTCAGGGGCCAAAGCAGCACCGTAACAGAAGTCGCACACCTTAGCAGTAAGTGTTGAAAGATGCTGAAAGCCTCGCCCTTAGTTGGAGAGCCCGATACCCCATTAGCAGTGTATGAAACCCATCGTAATCTAAGGCATATCTTTAAATTAGGGGTATGTGGTCATTTGTGATGACAAAGATAAGAGGAGCATTAATTGCCGACCAAACTTCGCAACAGAAGGCACGAAGATTCCAGTAGTGCTTGTTCGCATTAGTACTGCGAGGCTTCGGTACTACAACCGGCCGACCTCTTTAAACAATCCCGCATTGGCTGAAAGCAGCGCTCCGAATTCTAGTAGCAAAGCTATTTCCTTTCAGCTCGATGCCATGGACCGGGACCCTACTGGTACTGCAAATGAGCGGGTTTAGGCTTTGGGGCACTATCAGTTGTAAGGTAGAAGCCAGAAAGTTGGAATATGATTATCCTAACCCTTCTATGGTAAATTATAGGTTATCCTACCATGAAACCATATTCCAAATTTCTGGAGTTCCCTGTAGGAGCCTGCTCGCCAAGGCGACACAGACTGTTACTGATCCAGCTGGTGCACGTTTTAGCCCCAATGTCTCGAAAAACTGGACCAACAACCTAAACTTTAGTTCCCCAAACTGAAGCATTGAATCCGAGGAGGGGGTGTAGCTTTTCTTACCTTTGGTGAGTAGGGAATGGAGGAATGGTAGTAATAGTAGTTATAATTGTACCCCATTCCTCCATTCCCTACTAACCAAAGGTAAGTGTTGGGGTTTCTTGGAGTTAGCAGACGGCTCAGCGATCGCTTTCGCTTCGCGCAGCCGCCTTGGCTCACCACGTCGCTTTCCGTGGCAGGCCAACCGTTCGCCTGCGGGGTGCTTAGCGCAAAGGCAAACTTGGAGGATCATGGGACTTAGTAAGTATGGTTATAAGCACCTTCTTGCGGTTACAAGTAGTTGTAATTATAATTACCCTAAAAATAACCTTAGTTACTAAGTCCCATGATCCTCTAAGAAGGGCTCCAAAGCCGGCATATGATAAATTGGGGGGGGGGGGGGGGGGGGGGCATCGCAATATTCGTTAATGTTGTGTCGCAGTTCTGGTGGTAGTAGAGGCAGCAGCAGCTGCAGCGGCGGCGGCATTAGTTCTGTATCGAACAAGAAGTAGTTGTGGCAGAAAGTTCCGCTGTTGCCATGATGTTGAGTGCTTTGTTGCGACTGTTGCGGTTCTCGCGCTTCGTTGCTCATCAGCCAGCCACTAGATAATCCCGCTACCCTGCTTCCGGGCTCATCGGCAAATTAGGGTCCCTCTCTAGGCAGGCTGATCTCGCTTCAATCAGAGTGTCCGAGGTGTAGGATCTGGAAGAAACTTGTGAAGACGTGCATCCCGTGAGGTTGATATCTATCCTTTTCATATGGCAGCGCTGTGCCGCTGATATCAACCTGTTCGCATCTCGGCTAAAAAGCCTGTACCCCACTTGGAGGTTCATGGGTAGTTATAAGTGGGGTTATGAGTAGGGCAACTATTCTGGTAATTCATATTGGGGGACTTATAACCTGACTCAAAACTACCCATGAACCTCCAAGCAGACTCTAAACCCTTAAATCCTCAAGCCATCCTACCATTGCTGTGCGTGGGTGTGCTGCCTTTCAGCCCTTAGCGCCTGTGTTTTCCCGAAGCCTTTGTCATCGTTGGGTAACATTATATTAATATATATATATATATATGTATGTTTTTGGGGTACTTAAACCCCATAGTAAGGAATAGAAAGTTAGATTTAAAGCCTGGGTTCAGGGATTAGAATCATTAGAAACGTTCTACTCACCACTTTGCACTCACATCCCCGTGTAGTTCCCTGCTCTGCTATACTACAATGTACCCAATATCAAAAACCTTACTTGGAGGATCATGGGACTTAGTAATTAGGGTTATGAACAGGGTAACCATTGTTCTAACTATTTATAACCCCAATTAGGGTACTTATAACCTTACTTACTAAGTCCCCTGATCCTCCAAGTATACTCCCAAGGGACCGACCCCGATCCCTGTATGATTGAATGCATATAGAAGGCCTCGGAATAAGAGATCGTTCCTGATTGCAACTATAGTATACTCTACCCAAAAAAGCAAACCCTTAGAGGAGCTCCGTAAAGGATCCCGAGTCTAATTTTGAAGCTCTGTTTTACTGCCTGGTGCAGCTTCCGATAAAATGTTAGAGTGCGCTTTCGGAGTTCCCTGGGCCTCCGTAGAGAGCTGCGAATTTTGCCGTTTAGTGTTCTACGAATGTTAATTGCTGTTATTCATGCCGCCCTCAGTGTTATGATTTACCACAGACAGCCCTAATCCCTAATCCCTAAAGCCCCTAAACCCTAAACCCGAAAAAAAAAAAAAACTAAACCCCTAAACCCATAAACCCGCTAAACAATCCCATTGAGGCTAGTGGTTACGTCTTGGTTTCCGCCTTCCCCGGACTACATAACCGTTTCGGTGTCCTTTTTGTGTAAGTTAAGGGGGAGGGTACAAGGAATCCTTAGGGGAACCTTAGGGAGTACTAGGGAGATTTAGGGGTCACTAAGCTATGTACCCCCCTTGGAGCCCCCTCCCTTAAGGATGCTATAAGTAAGGGATGTTGGAAGAGGTATGTATTGTTCTTCTATAAGGGGAATGGGGTTTAGGGTGCACGACGGCCGAATCGACTTCGAGCCTGGACCCGAAAAACCCTATATCTATAAGGTTTTTTAAAGTTGTAGAAGCCTGAATATTTGCCGAAATGATTCCGAAGGGCTCCTGGTTTTGGTTAGGCTATAAGAAGTCCACATATGCCCCAAGCCCTATTTCCGTTGGTTGAAGTTCAAAGACTGGGGTATGAAAGGGGGTCACTGTCTGTCGAAGGCGGAGCAGACAGATACACAGCTTGATAGAGGTTTTGGCTTGATCCTAACCCCCCTTGCCAGAAGAAGGTTTTCTAGGCCCGAGTGCAAGGGTATGAATAATAGGTGGGTAATTACTAATATCCTCCCATAAACTCTCCAGAAACTTACAAAGCAAAAATACCCCTAATTACTTGGGCTCGGGGTACTTAGGGTTAGAGTTCAAATTACTGTAGTATCTTACCTGTACAAACCCTGACTTTGAACCCTAACCCCAAACCCCTAAGCCCTTCCACCCCAAACACCCGAAACCATAAATCCTAAACCCCTAAACCCTAAGCCCGACAAAGCCCTAGACCCTAAACCCTAAGCCCTAAACCCCTAGAAACTAAGCCCTAAACCCCCCGCGAAACCATAAACCCTCAACCTTATATGGGAGTTTCAGAAAGTAGGGGACCCTAATATAGTACCCTAAATAGTAGGATCCTTATTATTTAGGACCCCCAAATAAGGTACCCCCTAATATTCTGAAACTCCCATATAGCCCTAAACCCCGAGCCGCCAGGTTTGCCAAAGAAACCCGCAACCTGCACAGCGCGCACCATGCGCCTGCATGTTGAGATCCTTGGCAGGAGAGTGCTTTTGCCACCGAAACCCCGAACCACTCAGCCCTACTTGAGGATCATGGGACTTAGCCAGCAGGGTAATGACTACCTTAATCAGAGTTGTAAGTAGTTATGACTATAGTTACCATATTTATACCACTAAAATACTATTTGGGCTTTAGGGTTTAGGAAACCCTTGAACTCCAAACCCCAAACTTACCTTCGTAATGAAATCTGTGAGGAAATCCAGGTAGGGCTTAAGGTAGATGCTCACTCCACGCACCCTTTTTCTGTTGTGGGGTGGGATTGGATGATAGGAAAATGCTATCACGACTTCCCTCTAGCAAAAATGCAGACTCAACTTTCTCATCAGGAGGCCATGATGCTGGCACCAGCTCTACATCACTGCTCTTAAGAATACAGGGTCCCATTCTCGAACTGCACCTCAAGGAACAACACTTACGACTTACGCGCAGGTAGGGCAAACCGAATAGGAAAGCTGGCCATGCCACACCTGATCCACAGTGTGTTTATGTTCTTCGATGCCCTTGTCAGACATCAAATACCGCAAAGCCCTGTCAAGCGCAGAGCCTAGTTGCTTTGTAGACATCTTCGCGGGTCCAGCTCTTGACACCCCTGAGATTGCCTCTAAAACGCCTTTGACTTCGTCCCACATGTAGGCTACCATTCTACCTGGAGCGCGTAGGAGCTTCATGTTTCCTGAGAAGAGCCTCTAGGATGTATGCTCCAACAGTGGTGTAAAGTTCTACTCATCTAGTGGCGCAGATGAAAATCATAATCTTGAGGCTCTGGTGTGGTGTGGTGGCTTCCTGTGCTTGCAATGACAACCAACAACCAAGACCACCCAAAAACAAAACCGTGTCCTGTCAGCATGTGGCTGAAGCAAGGGCCCCTGCTGCTCAGGATACCATTGCTAGCCAGTGTCCTCGCAAATGCCCTCGCCAGCGAGACAGGCAGCCGGACTCTGATGGAACTGACTTACTTACATTGGGAATTACTACTGCCTGTATTCTGGAGAGTAGAACCCTAAACCCTGATCAGACCCTCCAACTATCCTCCATCAGCGCCCAGATACCCACTCTTCAAGACCATAAGACTTTTTCGGAAAGGCTCCTCAGCGGGATCTAAGAAGTTCCAGCCAAAAGCCTTAAAGCCCCGAAATCCAAAGCTCCCTCAAAGCCCTTGATACGACTTACAGGATCATGGGTGTTAGTATCTAGGGTTATAATGTTATAAATTAGTTGGTTATCCCAATCAGGGTACTCCTAACCTTACCCATTAAGTCCCATGACTCTCTTAGTATCCCACGCTATGTCGGTTCCTAAGCCTGTCGCAGGGTTTCACATGCAGCGACAGGATCAACACGACTCTGCCCGGAGAGATTTCCCGCAAGACGTGGGGATTTGTCGTAGATGAGATTCAGGCATCACAGCTCACCAGAATTTACAGCAGTCTCGGAAACACTGTCTTTTGGGTTGCATGAGTGTGGCACTTCTAAACTCTAAACTTCTGTATAAACATTTGAACCCAAAGCCGTCGCTACTGGTAGGTGGGAGCTTTTGGCCACATTGGAATCACCCATGCGAGCTTGAAGCATGCACCGACCCCCGAAAACCGCACGCCATTCCAGCGTAAACTCCCACAACGCGAACTATTTTCCCAAAACCACGAAGAGCCTGACCCTAAAGCCAAGACCCCAAAAAGCCCCCAAACCCTACAGAATCCCACAATAAAACCAATGAAGCCCTGACATGCCCGAAACCCTAAACCCTGAAACAAACACCAAAACCCTCAAACACCTCCAAGCTTGCAAAACAGACTAGGAAATATCAAAATTTCAAAACTTCAAATGGCCCGTAGACAAGAAGACTTCAGGTCGCGATGCGGCGGAGAGGCCGCTAAGTCCCCTCGCGCAGTACCTGGGCCAGCAGACAAAAGCTTGTTTGGGCTTTGTTCTAGGCGTATAGGAAGGGTTTATGACAATTTAGGGTTATAGGGTTGAGGGTTTAGGGTTGATAGGGATCTAGGGTTTGATGTATGAACCTGCTTAACTCAGAAGAGGTGTTTTGGGCCCTGAGTAGGGTTCGATAGGTTTTCATAGTGGCACATAGGTTCCTGTAAGGTTACAATTAGTTACAATATACCATCATATACTATATTATACGCGAGTGTACTGTAAAACGCCATAGGCGCTCCAACATACTAAAATGAGGCATTATACTAAGATACTTGTATTTTAGTTAGAGTTATGCGATCTATCTATCTATCTACCTCTCAACCTACCTGTTTATCTTTCCATCTATCTATCTAACTAACTATCTAACTATCGGTACCTTCTTGTTTTATGCATCTGCGCACTTGTTGACTGGCTTCTGGAGTTATTAATGGACTCAGTAGTTGTTAGGGGTGTGTTGGGGTTTAAAGCTGTAGGCTGAGGTTTAGGTTTGAAGGCTTTAGAATTCTCAGGGTCTAAGGCTTGACCGATGCATAGGATAAGAGCCTCGTCTCCTTCCACCAATGTCGGATTTCAGCTCAACCGCAAACCCCTTCTAAAAACCTTACAAGAAACAACAACCTGTAGTTGAAAGCCTTTGTAGACCCTAGTCAAGCAAACGTTTAGGGCATTCTTACGGACCACGGTCTCAAAACCCTAAACCCTGAACCCTTTTGGGGGCCTTCATACGGTCCATGGTCTGATACCCCAAACCCTAAACCCTGCACCCTCCTGCCTGCTGCTACAGAAAAGGTCCGCTGCACCTTAAAAAAAAACCTGCACCCTATTCGGGGGCCTTCGTACGGACTAAGGTCGATCATTTCTATGACCTTGTCCTCGGCCGGGAACCCGACCGCAGCTCGGCCCTTTTTCTCCATATACGGTTTGGCGCAATTACAACAGGCATCTATTGAAGGGTTCCTTTAACATAGTGGTCCATAGGGGTTCTATAAGAAGGGTGTTGACAGGAATGGGATTCTTCAGATCAGCAAAAGCTGCACTATAGCTTCCAAAAACCTGAAACCTAGTTCCAAGCCTCAAGCCATGGCACGTCAGCAGAAGTCATAGTTGCCTAGAGCCACTAAACCCCAAATCTCAAAAGAATCCTTATCGAACCCGTGTAACCCCCGAAACTCCAAGTGAGCCCAACCCTAAACCCTAACCCCGAAACCCCAAATGAGCTAAACCTCCCAGGTCATGCGCCGCGATGTCTCCGGCCACGGCCAGGTCGACGGCCAGGAGAAGTTTGCACATGCGCGGGCCTTTCCAAGAGTTCTAAAGGGATCCTATACGGAGTCTGCAGAGGTTCTATCTTGAGTCTGTGGCATTTTCGGTCTTGGGGCTTCTCGGGCTATGGTTCCTGCTTGGGTGTTACGAGCGTTAACGGCCTTCACAATGGTTTGTTAGGAGTTTACATGTTGAAAGTTTAGGGCGTCCTCCGTGTCGGGTCCCGGCATAAACCGGACAACTTCGGGCTCAGTGTATCAACAGCTTTGGTTTGGTTTGTGTACTCACGGCCTTGGACCGCGCCATCAGTCACCTGCAGCACCATCGGGGCCAAAATAATCACGAATACCTGTTTCAAGGTTTTTATGGGATAATAAGCCCCAAAGCCCTATCATAATTACTAAGGCTTGCATATCTACGGGTTGAAGCAGGAGTTGAGTACCGAGGCAGAAAGTTCTGCATGCACCAAAGGGAACGAGTCTTCCCTTCCCTTAGGCAGTTGAGGCAATCAAGTGTTTTGCTCAGCAGCACTTCAATTTAAAAGCCATACCCCAAATCTTAAGCCCAATAGAGCGCTTGCAGAGCCCTTATGTACTTGCTGATATCACGTACCTAGAACCCAAACGACATCAAAAGGGGGCTTCTAAAGCCCCAGTAACGACTAAGATTGAGAAAAGCAATAATGGAAGACCTTAAGCCTTAAGCCATAAACCCTCGTCAAAAAAAGCTCTTGAAACTTGTAGAACCCGTTTAGAACTCGTTATAGGAGCCTTGGTAGGATGGACCATCTCGGCAATAGAGTGAGTAGCCCTTTAGCTGCTGGACGCGGTACTATGATCACTCCAAAGCATAGAAAGTTAGCTGTTACCTTGTACTTCCCGTAGACCTACGACTTAGTAACCGAGATCACAACATAAATAAGGTACTTGTACTTACAGTTACATACCACTCTAATTCAGGTACTCACAACCTTATTTACAAAGTCCCTTGATCCTTGACTTAATCCCTAAACCTTAAACCCCTACAACACCCTTACCAGGATGCCCAGTAGTACCCTTATTCCCTTTTTGTAGTCCTAGGTTCCTTATTAAGGTACCCAATACCAAAAGGGAGCCCTTTTCCCTAGGATACTGGGCATCCTAGCTTATAGATCCCTGGAAGGTGAGCCTTGGCTCCCTAAGCCCCTTCCAAGCTACTCTTCTGACCCCCAAGAATCAGGGACCCAGAAGGGCTTAATCTGGGGGAGGCTTAAATAATTGCCAATCCTATTACTATTTGGGGGGGTTCGGTTTTGGGGTATAATGTGCTCCAAAACCCTATTCTACTTATTCAGGCCCCTTTCTTATGTGCTTCTCCTAAACCCTAAACCCTAAACCCCTAAACCCTAAACCCTACGGTTCCTAAAAGAAGCTCTCCTCGGCTTTCCCCCACTGGCCGAGGCCCGCGAGCAGCTGCTGGGTCTGCACTGGCACACGAGAACCTACAGTAAAGTATAGTCATAGGAGGCCAAAAGGGGTTTTAGCACATGGGGGTTTAGTGGGGATGAGGGTTCCCATAATAGGGTTAATATTAAGGAATCCCTACCCCAAGAATCTTAAACCCCCCCTTTGGCCTGCCATCATATAGTCCCTATAACATCCCTATATAACCAACAAGGTTAACCTTGAGTTCCCCATGATACCCGACAAGTAGGTAATTAACAGGGCTCCTTTTACAAGGGCTACTAATTGTAAGAGATCTATACGGCGACTATAATATACGGTAAACCCCAAAAAGTTGGAAACCGGAGTAAGGCCAAATAGTGCTGGGATCCCTTATGCATTACTCTTGAGGATCGAGGCTATGGGGTTTCCAATTTTTGGGCTTCTACTGTATGGCTTCCCAGACCCCCTTTGCAGGATCCAAAAAGTAGATCCCTTTAATGGAGGTTCCTATAAAGTACCCGTCGTAGTATGGGACCCCAAATTAGGGGATCTACTTTCTAGATCCTTTCGGGGGTCTCGGTGAGGCCTTCCCTGAAACCCTAAACACTGAGACCCTAAACATCCAGTGTCCATAGCGCTTCATGAAGATTTCTAGAAAAGCTTTGACAGGCTTAGGTTAGTGACTTGATTTTTTGCAGTGTCGCTTTCGGGTTTTGGCGGTCGAGCTTTGGCGTTTCAGGGATCAGGATTCTTGAGTTTGGGAGCTGGGGTGCCATGGGGACATCACCCCGCGGCTCACAAACCACTTGGGATTATCATCAATACTAATAGGATCAGTAATACTAGTATTGAAAAATATTGTAAAAACTGTGGCATTATTATCATTGGTATTACTGTTATTAGAATTGAGGGCTTAGGGGTCTCGTGCGCGAGCGAACTAGTTGCGTCCTGGCTCTGATCCGGAGTCTAATGTAGAAGCGATGAGGGTTTGCTTTCGGTCCCAGTTTGGGCCCGTGTCCCGGAATATTCCGACAAGGTTCATCCAAGGTCAAGTGCTGGTCTGTGGGTTAACCCCCACAGGAAGGGGCCGAGGAATAAGATACAACATACCAGCCCGAACCTCTGCAGAAAAAGTCCGTTTGAAGTGTGGGTTGCAGACCAGAATCAAACCAGAAGCGAAAAAATTACACACCCTGTCCCTTCAACCCCAAATCGCTACACCGTGTGTTACAAAACCTGGCAGAGAGCCCCTTGAAACCCTATGAAAGCCAAAATGCCAAAAAAGACCTTTGAAACCCCGCTGGACCCCCACCTCTGCGACCTGAAACTTTTACTTCGATATCCGTAGCAAAGTCACTTTGGGGTATTGGGTTTAGGGTTGGGTTTAGGGTTTTGAGTTGCAGAGGGAGTAGGAGAGTGGATCCTTATCTTAGTCGCTATGTAACCCCCCCATAGTAGTCCGTATGTTCCTTCCTTCACTCATCCCTAATAAAGCCATGAGAGCTCCGATATAATCTGGAACTCAAGCAAAGCTTCCGCCCTTCCTTCACTCTTCCCTAATAAGCCATGATAGCTCCTCCGGTTGGAACTCAGCTACAGCTTCAGCCCTTAGCCCTGAACCGCCCGAGGCAGCCAGCGGAACTGCCAAGCCTTAGCAGTGTGGAGGGCAAGGTCTTGCCCGGCGGGGGGGTGGGGGGGGGGGGGGGGGGGGGGGGGGGGGGGGGGGGGGGGGGGGGGTGGGGGGGGGGGGGGGGGGGGGGGGGGGGGGGGGGGGGGGGGGGGGGGGGGGGGGGGGGGGGGGGGGGGGGGGGGGGGGGGGGGGGGGGGGGGGGGGGGGGGGGGGGGGGGGGGGGAGGTGTTAGCGTGTTAGCGCAAACCGCCTTGATTACCGTCTCGGGAAGTGGAGTTAGTGAAAGACGCAGGGCTCTAAACGTTTTTGTGGGTTTCGGATTTCAGGTTCAAGGCCTGAGACCAAGACTTCTAGTTTGCGACCCGTATTGCGCCCCGCATAATCCCCCAGATACAGGTGCTTGGTGTTGTTCTTGGTGAGGGTGGAGTGGGGTTTGCTTATCGCGACCAAACACACCCGAAACTGTTCAGTAGACGGCGTGCTTTTAACAACAGACAATACGGCGCAGTCCAGACACTACTCGCTTGTAAGGGCTGAGTGTCTCTGAGGGAAGTGAAGGCCCTTCCTTGTCTTGGATCTTCCGGACCATGCCGCCCGACTAAACATGTACAATCTACCCCAACACCCGATTCTTGATTTGGGTAGTTGTCGAAATTGTGGCCCCTTGTTGGGTAACCTAAATATTAGGTGCCGTATTATAATAGTGACCCAAAAATAAAAGGGACCATAATTTTGACAACCACCCGTTTGCATGCAATGTATTGGCAGCACCGATGTCCCGAATACCAGAAGCCAGGTCGCCCGGAAGTTTCGGCACAAAGCACAGCACTCGCTGTCCAGTGGCGGTGACGACGAGGTAGAGGAGCTGAGAGAGACAGACAGACAGACAGAGAGACAGAGAGAGAGAGAGAGAGAAAAAAAGAGAGAGAGAGAGAGAAAGAGAGAGAGAGAGAGAGATAGAGAGAGAGAGAGGGAGGGAGGGAGGGGTGGAGGTAACGAGAAGAGGCCCTAACCCTAAAACCTAAACCCCTAAACCCCTAAACCCCTAAATCCCTAAATCCCTAAACCCCTAAACCCCTAAACCCCTAAACCCCTAAACCCCTAAACCCCTAAACCCCTAAATCCCTAAACCCCTAAACCCCTAAATCCCTAAACCCCTAAATCCCTAAATCCCTAAACCCCTAAATCCCTAAACCCCTAAACCCCTAAGCCCTAAACCCCTAAACCCTAAGAGAGAGGGAGGAGGAAGAGAGAGTCAGAGGGACGGAGGGCGGGAGCACTGGAGCGCAAACGAAACATGTCACCTGGTCGAAAGCTGAAGGATCATGGGACCTAGTAACTAGGGTTTCTTAAAAGGGATCTATAAGGGTTCCTTAAAGGTATCTATGGGGTTTAGGGTTTAGGGTCTACTTGAAGGATCATGGGACTTAGTAACTTTGAAGGGCTCCTTAAAGGGATCTATAAGGGTTCCTTAAAGGGATCTATGGGGCCTATGGGGTTTCGGGTCTATTTAAAGGATCATGGGACTTAGTGAGTAAGGGGCTCCTTAAAGAGATCTTTAGGGTTCCTTAAAGGGATCTATAGGGCTTAGTTTAGGGTTTAGGGTGTACTTGGAGGATCATGGGACTTAGTAAGTCAGGTTATAAGTACCCTAATTGGGGTCATAAGTAATTGTAATTGTAGTTACCCTAATTTATAACCCCAATTACTAAGTCCCATGATCCTCCAAGTGCAGCTGAGTAGCGGCAGCTGCGGATCACCATACTGTCCGCGGTCCAGTTTGAACCATGGAGTGCGGGCCACGAAGTGCTTGCAGGCCTTGAGTGAATCGGGGTCTGAATAACTACCAATATCAGGCAGGTTAACTTGAATCTCCAAAGAATGTTACAACGTTTTTCAAACTCGATGGAACCCTTACAGCACAATTTGTAGCGCCGTCATTTCCCTAAAGCTTAAAGTTGTCTTTCTCAACTCACAGGCCATCTCAATGTCGCCCAGAGCCCTCTTATATGGGAGTTTCCGAAAATAGAGGACCCTATAATCTGGTACCCTAAAGAGTAGGATCCCTGCTTAAGGACCCCAAAATATGGTACCCTTAAATTTTCCGAAACATCCACATGGTTATTCAGGCACCTCCACTACTCTCAAGGCCCCCGAAAACCGAATCCGGCGAGCCTGAACCCTGAGTTGAGGATTTACGGTTTTTGGGGGTTTGGAGCTTGGGGGTTCAGGGTTGAGGGGTCGGTGTTCAGCAATTCGGGGTTTGCTTGTAGCCGAAAAGACTACCCGTGTGGACTTTCGGATTTTGATATCTAAATATACGGTTGATGATATAAATCCTGCAGTACCTTCAGGACCCTAAACTATGGGAATTATGGTATATTCCTTATTAAGGGTAATGCAGGATTTTTATCATCAACCGTAGTTCTGAAAATGTCGGTTTTGGGGGGCCTGAGGTAGGGTGCCTAAACCCTAGACCCTTTCCTAGGGAACCTTTAATTTTTTTTGAATAGTATCGTCCCTATACAATCCCTATATAACCAAAAAGGTTAACCTTTAGTTCCCCATGATACCCGACAAGTAAGTAATTCAACAGGGCTCCTTTAAAGGGGTCTATAAGGGCTACTAATTATAAGAGATCTATAAGGGGACTACAATATAGGGCTTTAGACCACTTGAAGGATCATGGGACTTAGTAATTGGGGTTATAAACAGGGTAACTATAGTTATAACTACTTATAACCCCAATTTAGGGTACTTATGACCTTACTAACGAAGTCCCATGATCCTCCAAGCACAGGAGGATCTCTCAGAGACCACCTATGCACCCGAGGCGGGCGAGGACCGTTGCTCTGCTAGGGGGGGCTTTCCTGAAATGCTCCCAAGACCCTACCTTAAACTTGGCTTAAGGTCAGGTAGGGTTTAGAGGTTTAGGAGGGTTTGGGGGTTTAGGAAGGTTTAGGGGTTTAGGAGTCTAGGAGGGTTTAGGGTTCAGGGTTTGGGGTTACGTTATAGCGCTCCAGTTGTGTTTCTGTGTTTCTGCGTGTTTGGGCCGTGGTATGGTTAAGCGGTCAAGAGGCATCTCCAACCATTGCTTCGCTGACCCTCGATGGAGTAAGAGTTCAGGTCTTGGCAGCGTAGTGGTCATGATTTGGGAATCCGATTTGATGGGTTTAAGCTCGTCGCAGATCAGAAGGTACCAGAAGGTACGTTGCACGGTCCTACCTGCTGGCTCGCTTGGCTGAATCCTAAAATCCTAAACCCCAGACCTTAGCTGGCTGTTCTTTCAGTGCTGGTTCTTTTGGAAGTCTGGTCTCAGGGACCCGAGAGTCTCAAGGACCAGGGCAGGTTGCGGGTTTGGGTGGTCCCTTGTTTTGAGGAAGCCAGCCGTACTGGGTCTAGTAGGGCCTACTATTGACAACCACCCATACGACTGACCCGGACCCCGACTGCGGATCCTGCCGTTGCAAGCCCATCCTCACCCATCCTCCAAGTTCGTATAGTAGCAGCTTCTACTATACTCTAGCTTTTTTGCAAGGCCTTTGTTCATGACCTAAACCCCTGCAGATTCCTTCTAGACCACCTCCGTTATTTGGGGCCCCTACATAGATCCCTTATGGAACCCTGAGAGGAACCCTTCTATAGAGCCCATTAAAAGGAACCCCTATTCTACGCATTAAGGCCCCTACATTATGTAATCAACCCTAAACCCGATTATAGATCCCTATAAACCCTTTAAAGGACCCCTTAAAGGAATCGCTTTTCTAATTATTCTAATTGTTCCGGCCCCTATATTAAAACGGCATCGTTGGGGGCTCCTCTTCCGCAGGAGATTGAAGTGCCACAGACGACGACGTCACCTGCCGAAGAACTGGGATCTCGAGCTTTTTGGGTCTAGGGCTTTTTCGGGGTTTAGGGTTTTTTGGGTTTAGGGTTTAGGGCTGGGGTTTGGGGTTTAGGGTTTGGGGTTCAGGGTTTTGGGGTTTAGGGTTCAGGCTTCAGGGTTTAGGGTTTTTTGGGTGGCCAGGGGGGTGGGGGGGCTGAATCTAAGGAATCCATGCGGGCTGGCTACAGGATTGCGAAAGGGGCTCTTCAAGGGCCGGGCCCATGGCCTGGATGATTCAAGCAAGACTCTAGGGTTGAGGATTTCAAGATTAAGGTACACTATAGGTATTTGAAGCCCATGAACACCCTTGCAAAACCCTACAATACGACCTTGAAATTCCAAGACCACGTAAGGATCCCTAAATCAGAATATCGACCCTCTACGGTTGGACCACTATTCTCATGCCCCCTAGATATTAGGCATGGAACCCCAAAGGGTATCCTACTATCCCCTTTCTCAGGGTTCCATATGTTGGATCCTTCCTTCAGGACCCCTTCAAGGGATCTAAGCCAACAATACCATTCAAAACCTAAAGGGGTACTATGGGTGTCTATAAGATTCCCTTAAGGGGGTCTGAATTCTAAGAACCTATAATAACTATAACCATGATAAGGAACGCGATTATAGATCTCTACAAACCCTTTAAAGGACCCCTGAAAAGGAACCCTTATTCTAATTATCAAGGCACCTACATGGACCCCTTATGGAACCCTTAAAGGAACCTAAACCCTAAACCCAGGCCCTACATTATGCAGAAGGAACCCTTTTTTGAGCCTTTATAAGGAACCCTAATCTATAAGGTCCCAAGGGGGTCTGGGTTCTAGACCTCATATGCAATCCTACAATAATTATAACCATGATAAGGAACCCGATTATAGAACCCTTAAAGGAACCTAAACCCTACTTGGAGGATCATGGGACTTAGTAAGTGAGGTTATAAGCACCCTAATTGGGGTTATAAGTAATTATAACTATAGCTACCCTAAGTACTAAGTCCCATGATCCTTCAAGTACACCCTGTATGCAGTCCGCTGTTTGCCCAGAACGGCGGCCGACGAGGATACGACGAAGGCATCAAGCACCACCGCTGCTGCGGAGGAGACCCCGAGGGCTCTGAGGCTCCCCTTTTTGGGGGGGTCTATAGGGGTCCGGGTT